TTTCTATGTAATTTATATATTCGCTATATCTTTTTATATATTTTTTGTTTATATTATACTTTATTTATATATTTTTGCTATATTATATTTTTCGTATTTATTTTGTAATATTTTTTTCTGTATATTTTTCTCTGATATTTTTTGAATATATATGTATTTTTTGTTATTTTTGCTGTATCATTATTTCGTATATTAATGAATCCTTAATCTATTTCTATTTTGTTAGTGTGGCGGGGTTTCTCCGCTCTTGCTCAGGCTGGGGTCTCGAATCCTGACCTCAGAGGTGGCAATCCTCCACTCGGCCTCCACGAGTAGCTGGGGTGACAGGCGTGCACTGCCACGCCTGACTCATTTTTTTTTTTCTATTATTTCTATATTTTATTCTTTTTTTTGTTGCTCTATTTTTCTCGTATACGTTTTTTCTATATAGTTTATTTCTGATAATTGATCATTATTTCTTTGTTATTATTTTTCTATGATTTTTTTGTTGTATTTTTTTTCCATATATTATTTCCGTATATTGAATGTCATTTTATTTCTATTTTTGTAGAGACGCGGGGTCTCGCTCGTTGTGGCCTGGTCTCAACTTGCCCTGACCTCAAGCGGACTCCCCCGCCTCGCCCTCCCAAGTAGTGGGACGACAGGGCAGCGCGCCCGCCACCACGCCCGGCTCATTTTTGTCTATGTATTTCTATATATTTTCTATATATTTTTTGTATGTATATCTTTTTCTGTATATTTTTTGTATATATTTTTTCTATATATTTCTACATATTTTTCCTATATATTTTTTGTATATACATTTTTTCTATGTATTTTCTGTTTTTTTCTGTATATTTTTAATATATATTATATTCTATATTAATGATCCATTAATTTCTTTCTATTTTTTTTAGTAGAGACGGGGTCTCGCTCTTGCTCAGGCTGGCCTCCAACTCCTGGCCTCAACCGAGCGAGCCTCCTGCCTCGGCCTCCACGAGTAGCTGGGACTCCAGGCGTGAGCCTCCGGGCACAGCTCATTTTTTTCTCTATGTATTTTTATATATATTCTATATATTTTTTTCCTATATATTTTTTGTATATTTTCTTCTATATATTTTTTCTATATATTTATGTTGTATATTAACGATCCATTAATTTCTTTCCATATATTTTTTTCTGTATATTTTATATATTTTTTCTATATATTCTATATCAACGATCCATTAATTCCTTTCTATATTTTTGGTAGAGACGGGGTCTCGCTCTTGCTCAGGCTGGCCTCCAACTCCTGGCCTCGAGCGAGCCTCCCTCCTCGGCCTCCTCCCAGAGTGCCGGGGTGACAGGCCTGAGCCTCCGCGCCCGGCCTCCCCTGTGTTTCCGAGCTGGCGAAATGTAACGGGATTTTCATTTTCTTCCCCCCGCAGACCTCTTACCCCCGCTGGAAGCTGCCGGCCCTCTCGTCCCCGCGGCCGCCGAGCTGGGCGCCCCGGGCCAGGCCGACCTCCCCAGCCTGGACCTGGCCGCCCTCTTCTGTGACGCCCAGGCCACCGGCGGTGGCAGTTCCTCGGGGGCGTCCCCCGAGGCCCCGAACTGCGGCATCCTGACCATCGACGTGTCGTCCGTGAGCTCCCCTCTGGGGAGGAACGTGGCGGCCCACGGCCCCTCCGCGGGGCCCGTCGACCCCCTGGTCCTGGTGGCCCACGGGGACCTCGGCCCCGGCCTGGACGGGGCCCCCCTCGTCCTGGGCGCCGCGGGCCCCGTCCTGCAGCAGGTGACGGTCAGCGCGGGCGGGCTGGGCTGCCTGGTGGCGCTGCCCGTCAGGGACCTGGGTCCGGACCCCCCTTCCGCCGGCGGCGGCGGCGACGCGGTGGCTGCCGTTGCGCCAGCCCTTTCGGCCGCATCCCGAGGACACGTCCCGGTCAAGCCGGAGCGGGACTCGCCTCCCGGCCCCGAGGGAAGCCGAGGGCCGCCCCGGGCCGGGTCGCAGGGACAAGCCACCCCGGACACGGAGCTCGGCGCGGCCGCCGCCACCACGGGCCTCTACTTGGTAGGAGGCGCCCTGTAGCGCCCTCTCCCCCCTCCTCTCTCTCTCTCTGTCTCACACGCGCTCTCGAGGAGATTCCGGATCATTCCTTCCCGTGCGGATGGACGGACGGACTGGGCCTGGGGGAGAGTCAAACAGCCCCCCGCCCCCCCGAGTCTGGAGAAATCCGAGCCTGAACTTGACCCCGGGGACCCACGGGCAGGTCGGCCCGAGCCGAGCCTTAAATTCCTCGCGTGTTTTCTAGAATTAGGGGGATCGGGCTGGACGGTTCTCTGATCCGCGCTGCTCTCTCGAAATTCCTGGGGTCCCCGCACCGGTCGGTGTGTCGTTTTCCTCTGAAACACAAAAAAAAAACAAAAAGCAAACGCAGGGGGTTTCGAAATGGTCCCGATTTGTCCACGGTTTTCGGCTTTGTGCCGGTTCCCAAAAAAAAAAAAAAAAAAAGAGTCCCAGGAGAGGAGGGATTTGTGACCATGTACAACAATTACTTCGCAAGTGGTCGAGGGGATAATTTAAAAGCCACCGCCCAAAATTATTTGTTGTTTGCTGGTTTTGTTTTTAAATTCGAATTAACAAGGGGAAAAACAAGAAGACTTAATGGGAGTACGGTGTATGACATCAATTCTTGCGGGATTATAATAGCCGCGCAAGGCCCCCGCAAAGCACGCGAATGAGACAGAACACGTAATCGATGAATTTACGGAACTGAACGCTTCTGGAGAGAGAGAGAGAGTATTAAGTCTTCCTCGGTCGCAGAGGAACGAAAAAATAGGTTGTTGTTTGTCGCCCGCCGGGGGCCCAACTTCAGACGGCCAACGAGACGTTGCAAGGTTGACAGCCCAGCACCGGAGGCCGAGGCGCCCCGAGCTCGCCGAGGCAAGGAGGTCGGACGGCCACCTGAGAAAGATGAGACCCCGGCGCGTATAAAAAGATAAACAGACGCAAATTAACCAAACTGAAAATAGGAGAAAAAAAAAAAAAACCACTAGAAAAAAAGAAAAAAATAAGCCGGGCGTGGAGGCTCACGCCTGTCATCCCAGCACTCTGGGAGGCCGAGGCAGGAGGATCGCTGAAGGTCAGGAGTCAGAGGCCAGCCTGAGCAAGAGCAAGACCCTGTCTCTACTAAAAGTAAAGAGAAATTAATTGGCCAACTAAAAATATATAGAGGAAAAAAAATTAGCCAGACACAGTGGTTCATGCCTGTAATCCTAACACTCTGGGAGGCTGAGGTGGGAGGATCGCTCGAGGCCAGGAGTTGGAGGCCAGCCTGAGCAAGAGCGAGACCCCGTCTCTTGCGTGGATGTTCTGAAGGGACGACATCGTCAA